TTGGTGATCCCTGATTCACCTGTGAGCTAGACCGCAGGCCAGGTGACGTTAAGCATGCGGTCCGACATGAGCCTGTCTTCCTATTACTCCATATATGTTATACCAATGAAAGCAAAGCTTTCACGTTTATAAGCTGTCATTAAGTTTCAGTTACAAAGCCGCCTACGGTAATAGTCGTGGGGAAAATATCCGAGCTCTTTAATAAATGCGTGATCAAAAGTCGTCCTAAAATGGCATCTTAGAACCATCAGCTAGATGACATTCACACGTTCAGCAATCTGAGGAGCAAGCTTTTAATCAAATTATTTGACCGAAAAGGACATCACGTTCGCAGTGACGGCTCAAGCCTTCGTGCTGTCCGCGCCAAACCTAATAAAAATGTTACATACGAAAATCTCCGATGAGGGCAAAACTGTACGTCTAATGTACTTTCCAAAATGCATTACGGGACTATAAGCCGTCACAGCTTAGGCCATGTATCACTGAAGACCTATTCAGTGACCAATGACAGGTTGATTCAATTTCTTGAGCTTGCTTTGGTGTCAAAATGATTGGAAATGGATTGTGCGTATGTCCGTATGTGTTTGGTACTTAGACCTCATCCTCAGATGCATAATGTTTTAACTGATGATACACGTTTAATTATATATTGTTGAGCACGTCTCGTATTTCGCCATATTTGAATGTTTTCGGTCCGACTGATCTACACTACGTTGAAAATGACAAACGAATTTCTTGCAACGTTAATAAACGTTATCTAGCTTAAAATAAAGTAAATGAATGCATGCGAACTTATCTATGGCTTCCCGAAAACAACGAAGGATGTTGAAATACCCCTGCAAGCACAAAGAGTCTCAGAAAATGCATGGTTGCCCTTGCATATCACAAAGCTTTTATGCACACATGGAAACCAACATACGGGGACCAGACTATCATGTGGTGTCCATAAAACTAGATCAGTATTTGGTGGACGTTTGCAAGAATCAGGGGCAGCCAGATCATATATAGTCAGTCAAACTTGATGTACTACTAGAGATGCTAGTAAGGGCGCCTTAGTGTCGCGCGGGGGCAGGTTGGCTGTCAAAGGGTGTTGAAAACTGAGGGATGTATGCTCTCATCACCCCTGTAGTAAGCTCCGTCATTGGTTGGTCGTCTAAGATGTGAAATATCGGGCAAACTCGCCCCACCGGCCCCACTCACCAGTCTCTGGTGACCTCGACGGCGTCCCTGTCTGCGATGGCCCAATAACAGCTGACAGTATAAAAGACACAGCGACGGGCGGTAAGGATATCAGTCCACTACTGACGAACTGCATCTACTCAGCATGAAGCTGGTGAGTACTGGCGTCATTAAAACAATGACACGCGAGTAAAGTTTGAAAGTTTTCACACCATCCCACAAGACACACGATTGAATTTGAATACCACAGTAAAAAAATGTGTGGTGACCTTTATACGCTTCTCACGGCACAGCGTTGCCCATTTCCTGACAGAAATGAACCTCTTAAATAGTGCGAGGCATACATCTAACGTCCATTTCGTTTCAGTTCGTGTTCGCCGCCGTTCTGGCCGTGGCAGCCGCCGCTCCGTCTGATTCTACTTATGAAGAGGACATCATCGAGATCCTCAGACAGAACATCGACCACAACGACGACCACTCTTACCAACAGTCGTAAGTCAATAAGGAAGACTTTGGCGCTGCCCGTATTACACCATCACTATAACATCAAAATTGATCCGATATATTCATGGTCAGATACCAGCTCGGGAAAGTCACAAATGGCGGGCCAAAGCAAGGTTGAAAATGAATTTGGTGTATTTGAAGACCATGCCATTGATTTCATTTTTGATTAGAGCCATTCATGCATCGCACCGTTTGTCCTGTGCTCGTGTCTGAGGCTATTAAAATAAAGTGGCAAATACACGGAAGGCTAAAGATCAGTTAAGCATACGAACATGAACACAGGTCACAATGGAATCGCACTGACTGCCGGCACCTGCCCTTGCCGATTGTCTTTTTAGACCCGCTCGTGTCGGTGTTCCGCATATGTTTGGTTTCACCAAACCAATATCGCCGCGATTCTTTACTTATGTCATTCAATTATCTACACAACTCTCAAAAATGCTTATGCGGCACACTGAATACGTACTCATCGCTTATTACTCGCGTCAATTAGCTGTTTCGTCATGATTGCAGTTTCGAGACTGAGAACGGCATCTCGGTGTCGGAGTCTGGGCAGACGGAAGATGACGACAGCTACAGTGTGAGCGGCCAGTTCAGCTACGTGGCCCCCGACGGCGTCACCTACACCGTGGTGTACTCGGCCGGCGAGGGCGGCTTCCAGCCGCAGGGCGACCACCTGCCCACCCCCGTGCCCACCGAGTACCCCACCCCTGAGGTGTCTGATGACGACGACGACGAGGAGACATATGAAGCTCCCGCTGAGGAGGAGGAGGAGGAGGATGAGGAAGATGAGGAGGAGGATGAGGAAGATGAGGAGGAGGTCCGTGCTTCCTACGAGCCTCAGTATGAGCGTGTGATTGTCGGCTACAGGCCTCGCTACAACTAGTAACATTTTTTGGACATCCTTAACTTACATCTCTACCTACCCATGTATATATATATATATATATATATATATATATATATATATATATATATATATAAATGTAGATAGGTACATATGTCTGAAACGATATCCACATGGATGTGTTCCCTGTTACAAGTTTCACCCCTATCTTTTGTACAATGTCGTCATTTGTGTGTCGTATCGTCGTCAATACTGTGTTTTTATAAAAGGGCGATTAGCTGTTCATCAGTGACTACGCCATTCATGTGTCTGTTATCAGTGACGAGGATGCTTGTGTAAGTTATGATGCAAAAATATAGCACCAGAATCAGAATGTGTTTTGAGGATGTTAAAACTCTTACAACGCCAAATTAGGACATTGCGCGTTATTGACCGCCAGATATTCGGTCATTAATAACAACTGTACAACAAAACCTAGCCCACTTCCATTCACACGTACGCTTCGGCGCCTTAAACTGTCAGTTTTTCAGTTCCTCCATTCATCTGCATGATTGCCACTCATCGCCAAAAGCACAGCTTCGGGATAAACCCAGTGCATAGTCCTTGCCATAACGGGCTATTATCTTTTGCGTATGCTCCGGGAGAGATTTCGGAGACTTCAGAGACTATAGTGTGTTTCTTGACACAATGGCGTATGTGGTGTTTTGCTTTATATAGAACCACTTCGGTACGTCGTTGTTCACCAGATACTTAGTCATGTTCCGAAGCTAGGTGCTTGGTTTTGCCACCCAGATGTGTCCGCCACAACCCTACACCGAGCGTGAGTCACCTACAAAGGGCATAACATGCTGTTGCAAGCGTGCAAACGAACTAGGACATCTATGCATCGACAAAGGTTTCAGTAATTGGCAATAAAGTGGGTGGCCAGACACAAATTATGCGCACTCTTCCTACATCATGGGTTCCATTTCTGTTCGCAAGCAACAACACTACCGACCTTCCATGATCCAGACATCTAATCACAGACAGCACGACATTGACGGATGTTTTAGGAGCTGAAATTGACAACTCTAAATCATAAAATTACTTCAAACAAAAATCGTCGACCCAGAACACATACCGGAAAGAGCAGTGTTGGCCGTAAACGGGGACCTAACATTACTTTGCGTGGTTTGGCGACCACTTTTTGCGACTTCCTGCGTCGCACAATACCGTCCCATTCCGAGCGCTGGCAGCCAGGTCATTCGGATCCGCTACTCAGAGCTGAGGCTGGCAGCTGCCGCTGTCGTCATCCCAGCGACGCTGCACTGGAAGGCCCGCACCGGGCGACAGGCAGCTCACGTCCTGCCACTACAGCCACTTTGAGAGGCGTCCCGTGAACCACCCCGGCACCAGTCACACATCGAGCTCCCTCAACAGCCGCTATAGGTGGAAGTAGACAAGTAGACTGTAGAAGGCTGCTGTAGAAGAACTGAGAACCATACAGCGGTGGTGCGACACTATCCCGCCCTTGAACGTTGAACGCAACCTTGAAAGTTGACCTTGGAGTTTTCGTCATTGCCTAGTACGTATGCGTGGCTTTCATCTGAAACCTTTCGTATGCCGGGAGCTCCAAAGCATCCTTGTCACTGCCAGACCTGGTGAAATAACCTCTGGAGATCATGCCTCTTGCGGAAGAGCGAAATGGACCGCATTTTCGGTAAAAGCGGGCTGTGTTTGGGCTAGGAACACATTTAGGTGGAATTGATATTCGACGCTGAATTTGAAAACGAATGCGTCGCTAGCTTAACGGACGTGGAACCTTACCGGTATAAAACCATGGATTCTTACATGGTTCTTATCGGAGAACGTTCAAATTTCATACACGGCATTCAAAACAAATATTGTACTTTTCCTCTTTTGTTTTTCGATACTTGCCGCTCGGCCTACCTGTGTTTTGATTCGAACTAGGAATCCACTCCAGTTGTTGCCACGCTGTTCCAAGAGGTTTTCACGTTTGCAATCCTTTCACTCGATGCAGCTATATGACAACTGTCTGCACTTTACGGACTGCGCAACTGAAGCCGCGCAGCAGGCAAACGGCCAAGTCTCAGCGTTACTGTCACGCCTCGTGTCGGGCTCTGTTACTTGTCCAAGCCGACGCGTTACTTTGGAAACTAGCAGTCTGCTGAGATGGGTTAGATTCTCCTCGACGAATGAAATCAGCATATGCCTGCGACCCACGCCTGTTAAACTACCCTCGCGTGCATCGCCGGTTTTTACGATGGTGCGCTTTCTCGCGACACTACATTACCACGCTAACCAGTCCGCCAAACTCAGCACCGCAGCACCGCTAATGCCAGTCAGCTCCAACAGTTCACTGCACTCGTCCCCACTCATCTCCATGGTTACGATATGTGCGTGAATGCTACGTTCCTTTCAAGAGCAGTTTCGTGCCGCACGGTTGGAGTAGAGCAGAGATAGTGGGTTGTTTTTTTAATTTATTTCATCAGCCGACATACACAGGGATCTTAGAATTTCAGCTTCTGGAAGAACCACCTGTTCTTGCCCGTCTTGTACCTGAAAACAAACAAGGTAATTAGCAAGGTGAGTAACATGCAAGCAAACCTAATAAACTACCATGGTAGTTGACCCGCCCTCAAGGCAGCGTTGCAGTTTTGGGAGATAAGTGTCGGGAGATAAGCGGGGAAACATTGCTAGAACTACCCCCCAGAATACGCTCCAAAACTTTCTCCCTGGACTCGGCCCAATTTCTTCCCAACGTTTGGAGGGTCTACAGCCCCCTCCCCCTCCCATTGAATAGGAAACTATATCGCTGCCTAGTCACAAACCGACGATAAATAGACGATCGAAATACAAGTTTAGGACTTGCAAAAGTATCCCTAACCATTTGGCGTAAAAATACTGATCCCAGAGCCCTCCCCAACCCCCGTCGTGCCGCACATATATGTACGACAGGACCTACTCCAGACGGAACGGGGCGATCACGCGCTCCATGCGCCGTCACATCCCTTACGTTCTCATCATTATGACTGTGGTGTCAGGGCGTCCCCACGTCCGCAACGTTTCAAGCTATGAGAAAACAGCGCACCGACATATCTGAAGACCGCAATTCGGGTCAGCTCAGAACAAAGTTTTCACTGGATAGAGCGAACAATGCATAGGGCTAACAGCTCTAACTCGCCCTTGCGGGAACCACGACCACTGAACCCCATTCGCGTGTGGTGGGGGGGGGGGGGGGGGACAGAGAGAACATTTCTTCAGCTTTTCTGGCTGTTGCTTCAGAGCCGTTAATATAAGCCTGGAATACAACTTTCTTAACCAGTCTATTTACCTCCTCCATAGAAAATCAAGACCCATGTGCAGCTTCCCACGACTTGGGAAGGGGGAGGGGTGTTCTCGACGAATCTAATTCATCTTACGATACCGCTGCCAACTTGCAACAGACCACATATACAAAAGTATGAAGCTAAAATATTTGAAGTGATGCCTCCAGATAATGCGCCATGACGCACACGATTAATATCCCGATGACAGGGGAATGCCAGGGAAGAGCGACGCGGACACCAACTGCGATTCGATCGGCCAGTCAGCGTTTAAGACCTCAGGAGATGGCTGAGAAACCATCCCCAGACGAGTCCACATTGTTCAGAGGTCGTACAGCAAGCAGGCAATCACACTGCAGCGAACGAAAACAATTCGACCAGATGGGTGCTGCGCCGGCAGCCTGCGATCCAGCGACACACCGCGTCGCGCAGAGGTAGCCCGCTTTTGGCAGCTCAGCGCTGAGCACGATCGTCACTCGGACCTTCCATAACGAGGCATTGACTCATTAGCGCACCAAGGTGTTGAGGTGTGAAAAAGCTTTAAAATGGTGATTGTCGAAGAGGTCGACCATCAAATGACAACGCATCTGGAATTTGCCAGACAATTAGGTAAAACATGCACACATTGAATTCAAAGTCGTTCTTACCGCTCCTCCAGCATCTGCTTGATGTGCAGCTTGGCCTTCCTGCGCTTCACGGGGTTCTTGATGGTTTCCTTGTTCACACGATCCTTCTCGAAACCAATGTCCACCGTGTAGCGGGTCGGCATCATGTGGTTCAGGTTCACAACCTGAAAAATGTGATAATATCATGACGTGGGCAGCCCAGAACATCTTCTAACACTCAGTGTGAATCAGTGAGATGATATTGAAGCAATGGCTTCGTGCCCAAAACGAACATGTCTTGAATTACGCCATAACCAAAGGAAGTAGAATGATCAAAAGCAAGCACAAAACAGACCAATCCAGACAGGATGAGGCCTACAACTCAACACCTGTCATAACAGGGCAGGTAATGAGCACCTAGGTCATTGGCTGACATTTTTTGCACAATGGCCATGGAACTAGCCCACAGATGACACCAGGGAGCGTGTTTTTTTTGCAACAGGTCACAAATGGCACACACTGTTTGTGAATACTACATACCCAAATCATGGGCAAAATAATGGAATCAGACATATTATCTAATGTCAGTAGTAACCACCTTACGCTCTGTTGAATATTCTCCACCATGAAGACATACAAACATACCTGACTACCAATCAACTTAGCAAACATTACATCAATGTTTGTATGACTGACATCATCTTATCATAAGCCCATACCCTGACGAAAGGCTTGATGCGAGTGCGCCTGGCAATCTTCTTTTTGCTCATGCCCTTCTTGACCTGCCGGGGGTAGCGGTCCACGCCAGCTACCAGACAGTGACCATAGGGACGGTCTGTGGTGCCTTCGTCGTTGCTCTTGATGATGATTCCCTTCCGTCCGGCAAAGCGACCTCCGAGGAGGATCACCACCTTCCCACTTTTCATAATCTTGCCCATGGCTCTGGAAGAGATGGCATTGTCACATCTCAAAATATTCCTCGTTTCTTTCAGCTACATCTGCTGGCGTAATCACAACACATTTGCGGACTGGTCGTCAGGCTGCTAGTTCAGACATATTCATGGTCCCATTTCTTTTTATTTGATATTGGACTGTGTGTGTGTGTGATTGGGGCTTTACGACGCACTCAGCTGCTGAGGCTATGTGGCGTCGTCTGCCTCTCACCCTGGCAGGAAGGGCGGGCACCGCGGGGAACCGAACCCCGTACCTCTGGGTTCCCAGACGTGCAGTGGTTAACGCAGACGCGTGAACCACTACACTACCGGCACCCCGATATTGGACCGTAGTCAGGGTCAAATCGCACCAGCGCCTGTCGTCCAGCCGGGATGGGGCTACACACTGATGACAATGCCACTGTGAGTGGAATTGAAGCCAAACTAGCAATGACGATGGAGGAATACATCCAGAGTGATCAGAAACATGCTGGTACCCATTTAAGCCCACAAAAACCCATCAGTTGCAGTTGGCAACTAAACCTTGATTTTGGCACACCTCAAAAACATTTCAGACTTCCAATAGTATTCAGACAGTATTCAATAAAACCAACTTTGGGGGAATATTACTTTAAAAAGGTATCTATTACTTTTTAATAACTTCTATATTGCATTCATAGCAAACTGTAACAATTCTGCTCAATTATGGCTCCCAGCACCAGGCAATGGACTCTCTGGAGGCCAGGGTCAGTGGTCTGATCATCTCCACAGCATTTTCATCCAGCATCATGGCTAAAGAAAAAAAACAACAATGCTTTAGTTCTTCTACTTTCTTGGGTCTAACTGAGCCTTCCTGAAAAACAAGTTTCTAGGTACAAGGCAGTAGTAATAGCCTACAAATATCACCATCATATCACTAAAGATATTCTTTCAAAAAAGGCATGTTATCAAAAGATCAATGAATCTCTCTCCATTCCCTGACCTTTGTACAATGAATAAGGCTATGCTACTGCCTCATCTACATGCAAAGTATTCCTTGCAGCTGCACATTACAACTTGCATAATAATGTTCTGCTTGCTTTGTACTATTATAAACAGTGACACTGGTGATCACTGGGCAGCACTGTGTTGACTAGTGCCCAAAGCCATTTCTGATTGGCGCACCAGAGCATCACTGTGCCTTGCATTTGTTACAGCTGGGAGCAAAATGACCCCAGCAACTGACATGCCATTAAACACAACTACATATTAAATAAATGAAGTTACCATGGTACTTCAAACTGGATGAGAGGTCAGCAGTATGGAAAACTTGATGTGCCTCTCACCAGACAATGTTAGAAACAATCAGTCAGCAGTATGGAAACCTTAATATGCCCCTCATCAGACTGTGTCAAAAACAATCGGCAGACTGATTGGCACAGCAACCCCCACCTCAGTGTGTTCAACTGGGTACAAATGGTGGGACTCATGTTTGACATCAAAGTTGCACATAGAACATCACTCCAATCTAAAGAGGAGTATAAACAGCAGCCAATTGATTGCAGAAGTTGCATTGGTGACTGGTGACCAGATCACATGACAGATGAACAATAATGACAGTGGCAATCAGATGTCTCAGAATTGCAGGTTTTGATCATGCTTGAATCACAGAAAAGCTGGGCAATACCTTGCTTAATCACAGGCTTGCACCAATCCAGTACAAGTCAGCATGCCAAACAACCTTACAACCACATAACTGGAAAGGTAAATCAACACTCCATACATGCATAACTCATGGTCCTATCTTCATGCTACTTGGGTCACAACATGGAAAACCATAAGATGTAACAAGGCAGCACCAGTTAATATCGCAGCTCCCATCCACATGTTTATATTTCAGCTAATTCTCAAACAGGCACACATCACATGTCTTGGACAGCCTGATGACATATACACTCAACAAACTCTGGTCAGTAACCAGAGGTCACATTACAACTAATATGTTATTGCATGACTTAGGTTTGGGCCATCCTAGACCCCTCTTGGAATGCACACATGAACCATTGAAGACATTGCATCTTCTCTGTGAGGTAGATCACGAGCCATAAGCATGAGACACACAACTGGCAAATGCTGTCAGTATGAAGAGGGGCACCACTAGTATCCATGAAATGTGCATCTGTTGATTATTTAAGTGCCAGGAGTCAGGACTCACAGCAAAATCAGGGCTCCAACCTGGGCCCCCATATGGGAGTCTAACATGTAAATATAAATGTTCCAATCCTTTCAACTGAGTGATGGCATGCCAATACATATGAGTCAGCTTTCAAATGTTTGATCACTACATATTTACACTCCATTCTGGAGGATGTATGCACCTGGTGTGGAGTTAAGTCTGCAAAAAGTTCATCCACTGCACCATGCATTAAATTGGTAAGCAATTGCTGGTGAAAGTGGACCGGACACTGCAAACTAAATAGGCTGTTTTCAACCTGTTTGCTTGATCAATATTTATTTCATGATTAAGAACCAAGTAAGGCACTATTAAAATGCCATAATTCCTTGAAAAACCAACCCTCGTGCAGTGATATTAAAGGAAGCTGCACACCAAGCTGGGGACACTAGAATTGCAGGCATACTCAAGCATAAAATGTTGTTACTACTACACCAGACACACTCAAAGCAATGTGCATTTTAAGCCTTTCCGCAGCACAGGTACACTCCCTTTCTGATGGCGTGCAGGCGCAAGAAAAAGGCATCTATTCTCCCCAACTTCGGAACTAGTGCGCAATAAATGGATCAACAAAGCGAAACTCCAATATTCACAGACAAGGACCACCCACGAAATGAAATCAACTATCTTCCACAAAGAAACAAACAATCATGTCGCTATATCATTTTTTAACAATACCAGCAAAACCTAGGTAACTAAACGGTGCCGGTAGTAAGCGTACACTCACATCGGCTTGTGTTGACGCCGGAAAAGGAACGCTGCCTCATCCCATAATATAATATCAGTTTTCATTTTCATTTGAAAGAATTAAATAGACTTCGTACATATTTTATTTCTAATCGGAACCGCGAAGGTCCGACATACACTTTAAACTGCTGGACCCTTTCGTGTATTTGAAACAGGAAAGCATACGTTTTTTTGTTTATGCGCCATATTATCAGCACCTATTTGATGCATTTGTGAGAACTGTGATCGTGCGGCGGTTACCGGCGCTACATCAAATGGTTGCTGGCTGGGTTGGGGCCCGTTAGGAGGTGGCGCGTATTTTTAGTTCAGCTTCCGTTGACTTCTTTAAAGGACTGGGAATTCGGGGACTGACAATTGTGCGTAAAGTAACCGAGAACCAATCACGGACGGGTAAGTGCATCAATGGGTAGGTAGGTGTATCTTCTTGCTTGCCTGCAAACGCCGCCAGCGAAGTTATGGCATACGTATTTTGGCCATATATGTTAACGTGTGAATCATGACTGAACTTCCCACTCTGTGTGTACCTGATATGGAACACAAAACACACCCTTGGTCTTATTTTTATTTTGGGTGTAATGATGTTAAGGGGTGTAGGCATACATTGCTACTTAATGTTAGAAAAAATCGTACACCATTTGTCATGCTTCATGCAGAGCATATCATAAATAATCTCAAAACAGGTAGATTCATGCTCTTTCCTTCAAATTTTAATGTTTACAATAGCGAGCTCCTGAGCACCGCACGCACCCCACCGCCGCTGCTCCCCAGTGCTGTTTCTGTGTTGCTGTTGCGTAATTACAATATTTCTGCTTGTCAAGAACCATAAAAAATGTATGGGGCCAAGGTAACAATAAAAATGCAATGAAAAACTTGGTGCAGGTGTACTTTCCTACCTAATGTTAGAAAGAATCATTGCACACCATTTGTCGTGTTCAAGGCGGCACATATCGTAAATCATCTCAAAACGGGTAGAATCATGCCCCTACCTTCGAATTTCAATGCAGTTAATATGGTTTATATGGTAAATATGATTATGCTAAATATGGTTTATGTTTAGTAAATATTTTTATGGTTCACAGTTAGGTTATGGTTGTCCTGCCTTAAACATGACGAATGGTTTACTTTGGTCCCGTACATTTTGTGCAGTTCTTGGTGCGCAGAAATATTGTATTTACGCAACGGCAACGTGGAAACGGCGCTGGGGAGTCCAGGCGGTGCGGTGCGCGCGGCGCTCGGGGCCCGCCATCGAAGGTATTGAAATTCAAAGGTAGGAGCATGATTATACCTGTTTTGAGATTATTTACGATATGTCATGCCTTAAACACGACGAATGGTGTACAATAATTTTTTCTAACGTTAGGTAGGAAAGTACACCCTGACCAAAAACTTTGCTTATCGGGTCTAGGTACATTTATGAAATGGACAGGCCAGAATAGTCCAGAACATAGCCTAAACTAAACTAGCCTGGCCTAACCTAACCTAACCCAACCCAACCCAACCCAACCTTACCTAACCCAACCCAACCTAACCTAATGTAATGTAATGTAGCCTAGCCAGCCAAACAACATAACCTAACATAACATAATCTAATCTAACCTAACCTAACCTAACCTAACCTAACCTAACCTAACCTAACCTAACCTAACCTAACCCCCACCCTATCCCCTTCAACCCAGTGTCCCATTGGCATCCATGTTCCATGCCATATATATGTACCATATTAAGAAGTTTTGTTTTGCTGCCATATTTTCATTTGCTTTCATTCCCACACAGAAATGTCATATTTCCCCACCATGTTGACCAATCTACAAACAATATGAAAGACTCCTTGGGAAACACATAATATTGAATTCTTGTAACCTTGGCCTCATACAGTTTTATAGTTCTTGATGCGCAGTAATGCTGTGGTCACGCAGGTCACGCAGTAATGTTGCGATCACGCGTAGAAATGGCACCCGGGTAGTGGTTGCTGCGTTTGCCCTCGGATGTTGTTCGCTATCTTCACTATCGTAGTTACTTAAGTTCCAAGGTAAGAGCTTAGACAACCTGTTTTAGATTAATTATGATATGTTCCACCCTAAAAATGAGGATTGATGTACAATGCTCTTTCTTAACATGAGGTAGCAATGTATGCCCTGACCTGTTAAGGTGCTAATACTGCACTTTTCTGCTCAGGTAATTATTAGTCCACATAAAGTTGATCCAACTTGTGGGGTGCCCACACAGCATTGGGTTGTTGAATCTTATGTGTCAATCTAAGGCTAGGCCTAATTGAATTGAATATTGAATAAGTTGTGTCAAATTGTCAAAGCATTTATGTTATGGACCACCTCCACAGCATCATATATTCTGGAAGTATTGGCATTCTGTGCATTGAAATTGATTTTCATGCATCAACCAACTCAGGAAATGCTACACTGGTTGGGTATGACAATGTAAAATGTACATTTTGCAGCCTGCTTTGGAAGTCCAACCCATTTGTAAAAATTGTCAACCAATATTTTGGGCTATTAATGCTGTTTCTGTCTGGATTGATTACATCTAGTTGTCTGTTTTTCAAGCTACCTTGCATTTAGTTCATCATGACATCACATGTTGGTTATTTGAGATTCAGTCTTTATTCAAGCATGTACACATGGGTGGTTTTGCTTACATATAAATATGTTTCTTCCCAACAGATTTGTCTCAATGGACATTGGGGATGACTTTGGATATGTGCCCCATGGCAGGGGCGACTTCCGAGGCCGAGGCATGATGCGTGGGCGTGGCAGGTAGGGCTGCTGTTCAGTCTGTGACATTAACTAGTTGGAGTGTGTATTAGCGACAGTCTGACATATTGTGCATATATTCAAGTCAGGTGCTCGGAATAAATGAGCAAAGCTGATAGGGTCTTTTTCTGTATCTGTGTCACCTAGAGTGCTGCTAGGCTAAAGTAAAAACAAGCTTTCAGGATAGGTTAGCATCACCTTTGTGGCTCACAGCATGTGAAATGTTGACCCAGATTTGTGTTGATAGGCTGAAGAAGGCTATGTCATGCATTCTTAGGTGCTGTGTTTTTTGTGTCCATGTCTGCCAACATTGCCAGTTACCTAAATTCCCACTTTCCTGAATTTGTGGCTGTGCTATGCTTGTTTGCAACTGCTACCTGCATTAGTGTCATTGACCTTATTAGCCCTCTGTTGCAAATGGACCATAACCAAACCTGTCCTCTTCATATGAGCTCTGTCACCTAGATCCACAGTAGCAATCACTGTGACCCTAACATGTCCACATCATTGTTGAGGTCCTGTTGTACATGCACTGCTAGATATCAGCCCCGTCTGTGTGGGGCCATTAGCCGCCGGCAGTGCCTCCTCCCGGCTCTGTGGGCGGCCGTCTCACCCTGTCGCTCGGTTGGCAGGGGCGGCTACGAGCGCGGCGGGTTCCGCGGCGGCCCCGAGCTGGAGCGCGGCGGCTACCGCGGCCGTGGCGAGCGCGGTTTCCGCGGCTTCCGCGGTCGCGGCGGTCTGGAGCGCGGGGGCCGCGGCGGTTTCGGGGACCCGGGCTGCTACCGCGGCGGCTACGCGCCGCGCGGCGGCTTCGAGCCGCGCGAGGGCTACGGCCCGCGCGGCCGCGGGGGCTACGACCCCCGCGGCGGGTACCCGAGCCGCGGCCGCGGCGGCTATGAGCCGCGCGGCGACTATGAGCCCAGGGGCGGCGCTGAGCCGCGTGGCGGCTACGAGTCACGCGGTGGCTACGAGCCGCGGCGTGGCTTCGGGCCCAGGGGCGGCGGTCCGCGGGGCCGCGGCGGCTACGAGCCCCGCGGTGGCTACATGCCGCGCGGACGTGGCGGCTTCGAGGGTCGTGGCCGTGGTCGCAGCAGCCACTACGAAGAGGAGCGCGCGCCCTACGCGGACGCACCGCCGGCCAAGCGCGGCCGCTTCGTGGGCGGCGGTGACTGGGGCGGCTACGGCGGAGAGCGTGGCGGCTATGATGAGCGCGGCTACGGTGGAGAGCGCGGCTACGGTGGAGAGCGCGGCTATGGCGGAGATCGCGGCTACGGAGGAGATCGCGGCCATGACGCGGGGTGAGTTACCCCGCAATGCAGAGTCCACTGTCATCTGGTGTGAATGTTGGTGGATTGTGAGTTGTCGTACGTTCGCGCAACAACACCTTTTTCTTTTGCTGTAGATCTGTATGTGACATGCGGTATGCAGTTGCTTGACGTTTGAGTTGGGCGCATCAGTGCCCATTTTGGAGCTTAAGCTATTGCGGTTATAAGCATTTGGTATACTTCCGTTTGATTTATGGTCTCCTTTGTGTGCTTGGCGTAGCGTTGTTTGTTTTGACTAACGCCTTTCTTTTCTTTTATTCTTTTGTAGTTATTCTACATACGATTCAGAACCAATGGAGCCTGGTTATGGCAAGCGGCCTTAGTGAGTGATCTACATTCCTCTCAATGCACCAAGAAGATGTCAATTACCATCAAGCTAGAACCATGGGGCCATCGTGTGAATGCATTTCTCCAAATGATTGGCTTTGACATTTAACACTTAAAGTGGTGATAATGCATATAGCGTGTATATGTTTGCCAAGTTGTTATTACCTGAGTTAATGCCCTGGCCCCGGTGGTGCCCTGTACCACACTGTATGATGGCAAATTGTTTGCCGCTGTTTTGTTTAGCCTGCTGCTGTTTTTCTATTGCCTCTTGTCGTCGCCTCGGTTGGTTGTCGTTTCGTCTGACGGTTTTGTCCCGGGCCATGTGTAAAGCCTCGACATGTCATGTTCCAGCGGCCGCGACGATTCTTACGGAGACGGCCAGCACTACGGCAATGGCTACGGTGAGTCATTCACTTCAGTGTGTGCTTGCAGAATATGAACCCGATGCAGTCGCGCAGCCAAAGTCCCCGCTAGGCCGGGCCTTCTGATCCCGTGTTCTCACCGCTATGTCACATGAACAAGGCTCAAGTCGGCCTTTGATAACACTTCATGGCTTTGCTCATTCGCCGGTGTGCGAAACGATGGGTTGTGCGTCTGAACGCCGCGATGTAAGCACCTTCATGGTGCTGCGATGCGTGTTGTCGAAACTCAGTATGTTAGTGGGAAGCGTTGGATGGGCGGTTTGACATCCCCCGGTTTTTGGATATGTTAGCGTGATTTCAGTTTTTCACTTACGTATGCAATGCGTTTCTCGCTGATTTCTGTGTCCGGGACTGTGGCGAATGCATTTCGGTATGGACGGCGCCCTTTACCGTAGCGATTTTAACACACGGCTCTGGCGGTACCACCAGACGACAGATCGTACGACGCCGGCTACGCAGGCAACGGCTATTCGAATGGCTACGGCTACGAGACAGGTATGTATCGCCCTCTACGCTGGCATCAATCCGGCTGCACGGAAATGGACGCGGAATCGTGGTGGTTGCCGGCACATCGCGGTCACGGTGTGGTCAGACTTTGAAAGGAGAGCTGGAAGGCATGCTATAGTGCAACGGGGCGCGAGAAAGAGAAAAAGAGAGAAAGAGAAAGCACGATGGCGCTCGGATTGAGCCAGGTGCGGGCGCGTGTTAATGGGGCCCAGGTCCGCCGGCCATTAGGTGTGCTAACTCTGTCGATGCAACGTGATGAAAGAGGTGTGAGTGGTAACGTTTGAATTACTGAGTACGTAGTAAGTGCTAAATCCGCACATGCGGGATGTTGCTTGCTCACGGTTTTTGTGGGCGTTCGTATTTTGGGGCCGCACGTCGCCCGCGATAATGTCAGGTTTGATGACCAAATTTGCCGAGGTTGCTACTGGAGAAGCGGGCCAGACTGCCGCCGAGAAAGTACCGTATCTGACGACGTGTGCCCTCGTCTGTTCTAGGTGGAGGTTGGCAATAGTTTGCGTGTCAGCTCGTGGTCAGAGCCGTAGTAGCGTGCACCCGAAGCCGGAGTGGCTGAGGACAGATGGTGGGGAGGGAGCGGCGGGGCCTTGGCGGCCTGGTGAGGGGTGTCTGGCGACAGGAGGAACGACGGATGTAGGAAGAATGAGAGACTGAAAGAGAGGGAAGGAGGACAGAGGATGGACGGAGCGTGGACGATAAAGCAGGGCAACCGAACAATGATGGCCGGCCATGTGGACGCATTGGCGCTTAGAGAGCGTGCGGCAGCGTTTCCAGTTCCTTAAGACCGAGTAGTGTTTTACGCATGGAGTTCATTAGGGTATTACTTCACTTGCTTTCATCGCATCATTGTCGTGTGTTAATGTCTTTTGTCATTGATTTTGGAAGCGCTGGAGCGGACTGTTGAGCGTTCCGTCGCGCCGTGCTCTTGATGATGACAGAGCAGCCCTGGTGTAGCGCCTCGTGGCCGTAAGGGGCGGGCGGCAGTCGGTAACGTCTACCGATGCTGGGGACCGATCAGTGGCCGCGTGGCCGTATGGCGTCCTCGCGCTGGCGCCGGCAGATCTGGGCATGGACAGAGTGAAGAGATCTCTGTTGATAAGACAAATCGTGTTTTCACGCCGCCTTCGGAGGACGCGATCCCGCACATACCCCGGTGCGATTCTCCCAGCGGAGAAGTGCTGTACTTCAGATGCGTTCGGTCGCCGCAAGTCATACCTTCATTGTGTAATAAAGGTTTCGAAATCTGCGGCATTTGTATCGAGCGAGAGATGTGGCCAGACGCCCAGTAGCTTTGTGTGATGCGGAGGGTGGAAGAGTCGCCCGAAATGCTGTTCGGCCCTGTAGGAGCGAGACCGTTGGGCAGACGCGGACCATGTCCACGAAGCCGGCGTCATTAGGCGAGCAGCATGAGCATGAAGCGTGGCGGTTGTCGGTGGTTGTCTTAGCGTTTAAGAGCAAATGTCTCAACAGCCCGCGGCTGGCTGGAGCCTTGACCTTTTGTAACGCGGTGTGGAGACGGGCGAGTGCGGAGCAGCGGTCGGCCGCGGCCTCGTGACCCGTGAGTAGCCGCCGGACGCTCGAGATAGGCTCGCGGGCAGTGCGTGCTCCCGGCGTGCTCCGCTCGCCGGGAGGGAAGTCGCTGTGAGCGGCGCGCGGCCGGCTGGAGAGTAGGCGGGGCCGGGCCAGACGGCACCGAGGCCGGCCTGCGAGCATCTGTGCATTAGTGATGAGAGGTCAGGTCAGGTCAGACCTGCCGACCGCGATGGTCAGCGCCGGCGCCAGGCTAGCGCGCTGAGACCTCGTCAGGTAGGAGACGGTGCGGGCTGGGCTGAGGGTGAGTTGCCCCGCGCCAGACGCTGCCATGCCCACGTCACCCGCTCTCGGTCGCCGTCACGTAACGCTGGATGGCTCTCGTAAGCGTGACCGTGGGTGCAGCCGCGCCGGGCGGAGCGTCCTGAGGGGAATGGGAAAATGGGAGCGTTGCATCTCTGGTTCGGTTTGCTCGTGTGGTGAGACGTCAGTTGCCGGTTTGGACGGACGTTTCTCGGGTCCTGCCTTGTGGGTTTTTTTTTGTTATATATTTTATACTGGGACTACGCCCGCGTTCTGGCCGGTGTTTGTGTTTCCGCGCTCCGTGGGACATGTGCTCGCGCTCCCCTGCACGTCCTGTGATTTGTAACAATGGTGATAATCGTCTTCGCTTACTTGTGATTATGCTGTATATTTCTGACTGGTCGCCATGCTGTTTATCTCCTCGCTCGATCCGCGATCGCGCCATAACGTTCATTTTGTTTTTTGGCGACTCGACGGGACCGTCGCCAGTTTTCCCCCATTGTTTCTGTCCCAGCCGCGCCACCGCGGCAAACCCAGCTTCGACAGCCTCCTGGCCACCCCTGGTTGACCCGCCGGTCTGTGGACCAGGCTGATGGCGGCTAGAGCGGCGCCAGCCTGACCTAGGAGGCCACTTCCGTCCACCGCGCGCCGCGCGCCGGAGCGGCGGTCGCTCCACTGCGCGCCACAGAGGTCGCTGAGCGGGTGAGTCAAACCCCTGCGCCGGGGAACGCCTCCCCACCGCCGTGTCGTAGCTCGTCGGACGCGTACCGTCCAGGTGTACGGTGTCGCACTGCACGGACGGGGAACGACCCTGGGGCGTCGCTCGTGCTCGGAATGCCTGAAGTGACGCACTCGTCGGCGCCCCGCTCGGCGCGCGCGCGGCGTGTCAGAGCGCTGACCGGACTCTCCCCCGACAGCCGAGTCCACTGAGTCCGTGCCGGCCCGCCGATGGGCTCCGGCTGCGCGCGGCTCTGCTCTGCGGCCGGCAGGAGCGCGTCGACCTCGGCCGACGGCCCAGCCCAGCGGCGCGGACGGCCGGCGGCCGACGCGGCACGTGACAGCCGCGAACCGGCCGTGTGGCCTGCCGTGCGATTGGCCGCAATCAGTCATGATTGGTCACAATAAACCGATGACGTCCGACGGAGTTTGCAGTAGGCGGTTGTGAGGACTGGTTGAACTTTCGTGTCGTGTTCATATCTAGCCAAGCCAGTAGCTGTAATGTCGTTAGGTTTATCACCATCGTCATCATCATCCTCATGTTTAAGTAACAAGACATGCAATGCAACCCTTGCAAGACAAAGGCATGAGTGGGACGTGTAGTGTTTACGGGAACGGAAGAATCACTGCGGTGTTTCGTATCTGCTCGGGAGCCTGAGGAGTGACGTCACGACCAGACCCGTCGTAGGGCTCTGGTGTCGCAACACCAGAGACGCTCATTGGGCTTGCAAGATGGCGCGTGCTATGTTTGGTTGGAGAAGCAAAAACACTGGTAAGCAGCGATGGTTGGCAGTTCTCTGGAGAACGAATAAACGGCATTTGCCTTATTCGACACTGCTTGGGATGCTTGCGGCTCTCACCACAATCATAACTCGAGCGGTCGCCCTAAACGGGGGGAAATGTGACTGCTATGATGCTACATGACAAGACTGAAGCTGTGTCCCCGCCCACACCGTGCCCGATATCGGACATGGGCCGCCCCACCTTCAGTTGCACGAGCGCGCCTCAAGGAGAGAACCACCCATGATAGCGATGGGATTCCCCAGGGGCTGATGGCACCTGCACAGGGACGCAGAGGCGTGCGCACTTGGCCCCCTCCGCGAGGAGGCTGAGCGGCTGAGTGGACTCACGGAGCAGCGTCCTCAATTTGCCAAAAAGCTGATTTTAAACTTCTCCAATGGCGGCAAGGTAATTGGCTTTTCAAAGTCTGGTTAATTCCACCACAAGACAAGTCCCCCCCCCCCCCAGTTCGGCTTGTCCCCCCCCCCTTCCGAGATCATCTGTACCCCAGTCCGCGGGACAGTGGCGCACGTGCGAGAAGGCCCCGGCCGGGGTGTAGCTGTTATAGATGCCTACCGTATGTCGCATGTCTAATGTTCCTCATGCTACTTTTATTTGGAGGGGGTCGGGAGGCTCAAGCCTCGCGTGACGTCACTGATCTACTGCGACACTGCCATCTCATATCCCTGGTCGAAAATCGCTTGACCTGAAATTCGTGGTGGCATGTGCGATTCTCTCCCCCTGAGTTTCCAGTCATGTTCGCCGCCACTAAATGTCCTGGAGCGCCACAAACAGCGCCAACCTTGGCGGCGAATAACGGCACCTTGCAGCGTGGGCGGTTGCTACCCGGGACACCCGCTGGGTCCGTTGGAGACGTGCCAGCCTGGCGTCCGGCGCCGGGGGCGCCACTTCCTCAGCGGCGGCGCAGGAGCTGACCGAGCCCAGCGGTCAGCTGGTACGACCGGCCGCTGCCGCTGCATGGGGATGCAACTGGATACTTCCTGTCGGCTCCCGGCCACCGGCCACCAGCGCAGCCGGCTCGTTGGCTGCTAAGAGGCGGGCTACAGGATAGTTTGCCTTGAAGGGCATATGCGACGGCCATTGCTACTCACACCGCTGGTCCGCTTGCATTACGAAGCACCGCCGAAAAGAGGACGTATGGTTCGCAATACAGGCACCGCAGCAGGCGGAACGCCTCGTGCGGCCTGGGGGGAGCGAGGTTGGTTTAGATGTTAGGCGAGGTCATGTGCTGTTTTAGTTGGCTGGCGTGGTCGTCGGGCACATGCTCCGGTGGAACACCTGAGCTGGTACAGCCAGTCGCGTTTGGAAGTCCGCGCAAACCAGCGTTACGCATCGGAGTGTCAGTTTTCAGGGTTCAGTTGGCAGAAGTTCACCCATGGTTCGTTCCCGCACCAATTCACAAGTCTGCTCCATCGCGCCGCGATCGAAATGGGTGGCTGAGGTCGCGCCAGCGCCAAACAACGGCGCAGTTATGGCTGGACGGCATTCAGGTCGCAACGAATTTTCAGAACAGACCCAAACGCCGTGCGGCCGACACCGCGTCTTCCCTGCTCGGTTGTCGAGATCGGCCACACACTTCGAAACGTTCAACAAGCGGGTGGATTCATGGTATGTGCTTGAGTGCGCGTTGCCGGCAGCACACATCGGCGTAGTTTTTTGCCAGTGAAGTTCTCGTCCTCTCCTCCGTCAAACGGCACGATCCCCTTATGGCAGCGACCGTGTCTAGATCAGGCGAGTCCGATCCGGACACGTTTAAAACTCTTCGGTTTGATTTTTGCTGAAATGGTCGCTCCATGTTTATCTATTGGTAATGAGGCACTGTATATAATATTATATATATATATATATATATATATATACATATATATATATATATATATATGTAGCATATCTATTCGCAATACACGGCACCGTCGAATCCATCTGGCGGCATCCGGCTTGAAATGGTTAAACGGTTCAAAAAGATCTTGCGTTGCATCCACCTGTGGTCGCACTGGTTTCCAGAGCCGTGACCATAACTGTGCCACACCGTCACTTACCTGCAAAGGAGCTTATCATACATAGTGGCCACTGAATCACGCTATTTCAAACGCTAAGGCCAGCGAAAACGTGGCAACTTCGCGTTATGCAACAGGCACCAGCGGCTCGACCACGTCACCTGATCTCAAACGCGCAGCACGATCTCAGACGCGCAGCCTGATCCCAGACGCGCAGCCTGATCTCAGACACGCAGTCTAATCATCGCGCTTTTCAGGCCTGGTCAGAACTTGAAACCCAATATGTAGGTAATCAATATATTGACCGGTCAAGCACCATAATCATCCACATACACAACCAGGCACAACAAAAA